GATCATGGTGGTGTTGGGGGAGCATGCTGGTCGGGTGAGTCATGCATTCGTGGGTTGGTGTCTGGCTATTTAAATAAGAAGGGCGAATGAGTCTTAAGGGTTTGAGGGCCATGAGGTTATCTGCAACTCTCTGATGGCAGAACATGTTTCTAGGTAAACAGGCAAACCAGACCAAGAATGGCACACCCAGTTCCATTTAACTGCATCACTAGGAAGATATTTGAGATTCCAGTGTTTGTCATAGACTGTAAACACGCCACTTTAGGTCTCTAAACACTGATTTCGGTCCAAACATAAGTGAATGAACTGAGCTGGTTCTTCAGATTTTGCTGGACCACACCTCCCTTCATTGCTGGCTATTAATCATGCAGGTTAGGGTTGATAGCACTGCGAGTTCAGCAATAGAAAGGATTTCCACCTTAGAATACACATTGCATTCCCTTGCCTGCCTTACATCTCCTCCAATTCCAGCATAGCTTCAAGTAATGAGATATACTCATTTTTCTCCCACCTAGGTGGGGCGCATTCTGCGTCGAGACAAGGAGCAAAACCGTGCATTGGTGCAGCTACAGCAGGATGAGGAAAAGCTCCTGACATTGGACTATGATGCTGTGTGCCTCTACGTTGGTGGTTCCGAAGAGGACTGAGCTTTGCAGTCCCTCCAAGTTACACAGCATCTGCAGAAGAGAAGCGCTCCAAGGCTTAGAATCAAGGAAAAAGCCAGCCTGCAATTTGTTCTTAGGGAAAGGTGTCTTAAGTGCCAAGGGCTAAAAGCAGGTTTTCAGCAAGGAAGGAGACTGCCTCCTTTTTCAAAGTGGATTAAATCACAGTGATCTGGAATATATATTTATATTTTATTGAATGCTGGAGCTGCATTTATTTTGAGTTTTCTTTATTAACATTTTTAAATGGTGACAATACATAAGAACATGAGTATCAAAGCACTACCAGAAGCAAGACCATACATAGTGAATGCAATCTGGTGTGCTTTCAAACAGTTGCAGGTCAACTCTTGTTCCAGAAGAGCAAGAAATTAGGCTGGCCCTAGAACAAAAAAAGTCTTATTCCAGATAGAGTATTCAATAATACATAGTGCAGCTATGTCCAGATTTTTTTAATGGGCTGTGCTCTAATTTCTGTGGCATAGACCTTGTTGAAATATAGAAGAGAGGTGGCAACTGAGCAAGTGGAAGAAAAGGAAAAGTGCATTGAGTGGAGCCTTGGATGTATGTTTCTCTCCAGCCTTGGAGTTCCCAGAACTAAACACATCAAAGGCTTCTTTCCACAGAACACAAGGTCTTTGATCCACAAATCAACAGAAGATAAATGTTTAATACAGAGTTTGTGCGTAAATAATGGTCTTCACAAGGACTGAGCTCTTAGCAGGGCATATCCTAAAGAACGGAACACCCTAAATCATTCTCAAGCTATTTTAGACTGCAACTGCATTAAGGGACATCAAACCTGGTCATAGACCTATCCTCTCAAGAGGATGTCTGTACATTCTGTCATTCAGAAAACTTGTGTCAAGTGCTCTCTCTCTCAGAAGCATGTGAGGACTCTTCCTATCTTAGCAGTGGCTGGTGTGGTAATGGACTTGTCAACAATGAGCTACTTTGTAAATCTGCTTATTTGGTCATCATGGGTGAATTTAAGATTTTTTTTAAACTAGTATTAGGAACAAAATAAATTTCATTTTTCCTCCCCATTGTGTGGCTTGATTGTGATAAAAAATGTAATAACCAAACACTAATTCTGTTGGAGAACAAACCTTGTATCTTTACATTTCATACATTAGTAGTTATGCATTCCCGGGATTGGAATGAAGAACAAACTGTCCTCCAGGTGTTGCTGAACTGCAACTCCCACCATCCATCACTATTGGCCTGCCTCAGGGGAGAGTGCTTGCGCCATCAATGTTCAACATTTACACAAATAACCAGCCACTGCCAGAAGGGATGGAGAGCTTTATCTATGTTGATGATCGTGCCATTACTGCTCAAGCAGGGAGCTTTGAGATGGTTGAACAGAAGCTCTCCGAAGCTCTAGGTGCTCTTACTGCCTACTACAGGGAAAACCAGCTGATTCCTAATCCATCTAAAACACAGACATGTGCTTTCCATCTTAAGAACAGACAAGCATCCCGAGCTCTGAGGATGACCTGGGAAGGAATCCCACTGGAGCATTTCTGCACACCCAAATACCTGGGAGTCCCTCTCGACCGTGCTCTGACCTACAAGAAGCACTGCCTGAATATCAAGCAAAAAGTGGGTGCTAGAAATAATATCATACGAAAGCTGACTGGCACAACCTAGGGATCACTACCAGACACAGTGAAGACATCTGCCCTTGTGCTATGCTACTCTGCGCTGAGTATGCATGCCCGGTGTGGAACACATGTCACCACGCTAAAACAGTGGATGTGGCTCTTAATGAGACATGCCGCTTTATCACGGGGTGTCTGTGCCCTGCACCACTGGAGAAATTACACTATTTACCCGGTATTGCACCATCTGACATCCACCGGGAAGTAGCAACCAATAGTGAAAGGATCAAAGCAGTGACATCTCCGGCCCATCCCCTGTTTGGGTATCAGCCACCATGCCAACTACTTAAATCAAGAAATAGCTTTCTAAGATCTACAGAGACACTCGCTAGAACACCTCAGCAAGCGAGAGTCCAAAAGTGGCAGGCTCAAACCCAGAACCTCAATCAATGGATGGCACCAAAGGAGAGACTCTCCCCTGGGCACACAGAAAACTGGGCAACTTGGAAGGCGCTGAACAGACTGCGCTCTGGCACCATGAGATGCAGAGCCAACCTCAAGAAATGGGGCTACAAAGTGGAGTCCATGACATGCGAGTGTGGAGAAGAGAAAACGACACACCACCTGCTGCAATGCAACCTGAGCCTTGCCACATGCCAGGTTATCTGGCTTAAAGAATGAAGTAGTTTTTGTTAAGACTTATTTTTATTTCCTACTTTATTATTTATTTATTTATTTATTTATTTACAGCATTTATATACCGCTTTTGTCACCCCTAGGGGGACTCAAAGCGGTACTTTTCTTTCACTATATTGTTCCACCTCTTTTTATGTATATAGCATTTCTTTTGTGGTTAATAAATAATTATTAAAATAATAATAAATAAGCAAATTAGTTAAATTAGCCTCCCTGCATAAGTGGTACCTAAATTTCCTACTTGACAGATTCAACTGTTTTTTGGGCTGCAAAGGTCGACAACAAGCTAAGCAAACGGCTGGAAGCTCACTCTGACCCGGGCTGGCTTCGAACTCATGACCTCATCGTCAGTAGTGATTTTAATGTCTGGGTTGTTGTAGGTTTTTTCGGGCTATATGGCCATGTTCTAGAGGCATTTTCTCCTGACGTTTCGCCTTCATCTATGGCAAGCATCCTCAGATGTAGTAAGATCAGTTGGAACTAGAAAAATTAGTTTATATATCTGGAATGACCAGGGTGGGACAAAGACCTCTTGTCTGTTGGAGCTAGGTGTGAATGTTTCAACACTGACCACCTTGATTAGCATATAATGGCCTGACAGTGCCTAGAACAAACTTTTGTTGAGAGGTGATTAGATGTCCTTGTTTGTTTCCTCTCTGTTGTTGTGCTGTTGTAATTTTAGAGTTTTTTAATACTGGTAGCCAGATTTTGTTCATTTTCATGGTTTCCTCCTTTCTGTTGAAATTGTCCACATGCTTGTGGATTTCAATGGCTTCTCTGTGTAGCCTGACATGGTGGTTGTTAGAGTGGTCCAGCATTTCTGTGTTCTCAAATAATATGCTGTGTCCAGGTTGGTTCATCAGGTGCTCTGCTATGGCTGACTTCTCTGGTTGAAGTAGTCTGCAGTGCCTTTCATGTTCTTTGATTCGTATTTGGGCAACGCTGAGTTTGGTGGTCCCTATGTAGACTTGTCCACAGCTGCATGGTATACGGTAGACTCCTGCAGAAGTGAGAGGATCCCTCTTGTCCTTTGCTGACTTTAATGTCGACTATTTTAATGTCGTTTGGAATCATGGGGGCTGCCAAAGAATGCTGATGCCTCACCGATGTACAAATCCCAGCATTGCCTAACACTGGGCGATGGCAAATTAGAGATGAGGTCCCTCAAATAGGAGCTCCAGGTGCAGATCCTGAAGAAGCTTCCCCTTTTGCTTTGGTTCAGCACCAAGATGACTGTATTGTGCAAATCGGAAGGTGCACACTAATTGTGTGAAGGAAATTAAGCAAAAAAGGTGAGCATTAGATTCCAGTAAATCATAAATCCTAGAGTTGGAATAGACCTCATGGGCCATCCAGTCCAACCCCCTGCCAAGAAGTAGGAACATTGCATTTAAAGCACCCCTGACAGATGGCCATCCAGCCTCTGTTTAAAGCTTCCAAAGAAGGAGCCTCCACGACACTCCGGGGCAGAGAGTTCCACTGCTGAATGGCTCTCAGTCAGGAAGTTCTTCCTAATGTTCCTTTCTTGTTGTTTGAAGCCATTGTCCTAGTCTCCAGGGCAGCAGAAAACAAGCTTGCTCCCTCCTCCCTGTCACTTCCTCTCACATATTTATACATGGCTATCATGTCTCCTTTCAACCTTCTCTTCAGGCTAAACATGCCCAGCTCCTTAAGCCGCTCCTCATAGGGCTTGTTTTCCAGACCCTTGATTATTTTAGTTGCACTTTCCAGCTTGTCAATATCTCTCTTCAATTGTGGTGCCCAGAATTGGACACAATATTCCAGGTGTAGTCTAACCAAGGCAGGATAGAGGGGTAGCATGGCTTCCCTGGACCTAAACACTAGACTCCTATTGATGCAGGCCAAAATCCCACTGGGAATATCCTGGCCTATAGAGTCAGTCTCAGTTTCAGTTGCTGTTGGGGCCTTACAGTGTTTTACTCTGCCAGCTTCCAAAATGGAGATTGCGGAAAAACGGCTTGGGTGACGTCAGGATCCAAAATGGCCGACTTCCGTTTGGTTCGGGAAGCAGACGGACCCCACACCAGTCTCTCCTTTTGCCAGGGACTAAAATGGACGCCGAGACGTCGGCGGCTCTTTACGTCACGTGACAGTGCAACACTGCGATCAGCTTGGGAAGAGGCTGGTGTTTACTTGTCAGAAAACAGCATTTGAAGTCAGAAAGGTGAGCGTGAGAGGGAAGGAAGGGGAGGGCGGGCAGGGCACAGAGAAAGAGCAGGCCCCAAAAGAAGAACAGAAAGAAAAGAGGTGGGTTCAGGGGCCTTTTGGGTGTGGGCATCAAGGAACCAGGCCCCCCTGGTTTTGTATGGAAATTAAGTCGGAGTGTTAATGTTAGGGAGGCAGAATGAGGCTGGATTTGGGGGAGACATAAGGACAAGTTGGGGTTTGTGGCAAAGTAACATATTAGAAGATGGGAGGAAGGGCTTAGTGTCAAGATTAAATAGTAGTAGTAGTAAGTACATACAAGAAGATGTGAGGATTTACAGATCGAACTACAAAGACTCTGGCACAAGCCAGTCAAGGTGGTCCCAGTGGTGATTGGCACACTGGGTGCAGTACCTAAAGAACTTGGCCCACACTTAAACACAGTCGGCGCTGACAAAACTACCATCTGCCAGCTGCAAAATGCCATCTTACTGGGATCTGCAGGCATTATTCGCCGATACATCACACAGTCCTAGACACTTGGGAAGATTCCAATAATAAGAATAATAACAAGCCAGTTCAAGGTGGTCCCAGTGGTGATTGGCACACTGGGTGCAGTGCCTAAAGAACTTGGCCTGCACTTAAACACAATCGATGCTGACAAAATTACAATTTGCCAGCTGCAAAAGGCCATCTTACTGGGATCTGCAGGCATTATTCTTCAATACATCATACAGTCCTAAATATTTGGGAAGTGTACAATAATAATAAGAATAATAAGAGTAATAACAAGCCAGTCAAGGTGGTCCTAGTGGTGATCGGCACACTGGGTGCAGTGCCTAAAGACCTTTGCCTGCACTTAAAAACAGTCAGTACTGACAAAACTACCATCTGCCAGCTGCAAAGGGCCATCTTACTGGGATCTGCAGGCATTATTCGCCGATACATCACACAGTCCTAAACATTTGGGAAGATTCCAATAATAAGAATAATAACAAGCCTAGTAATAATAATGATAATAACAACAACAACAACAACAAGTAGTCAGCATATACAAGAAGATGAGAGGAAGGGCTTAAGGGTTCAAGATCCAGAAGTGTCAAGATTAAACAACAACAATAACAACAACATACAAAAAGATGAGAGGAAGGGCTTGGGGTTTAAGATCCCGAAGTGTCAAGATCAAATAATAATAGTAGTAAGTACATACAAGAAGATGAGAGGTAGGGCTTAGGGTTTGAGATCCTGAAGTGTCAAGATGAAATAGTGATAGTAATAATAATATAATAATAATTTGTCTCTCCTCACAGTTTGAGATGGGGCACAACACACAGATAAACACACAGATAAACTATAACACTACCAACATACATATATTAGAATACACAGAACAAAGACTAAACCACCAGTATCAATGAAATATACAGTTAAAAAGCACAGTTTAGGAGCCCCCGGTGGCGCAGTGGGTTAAACCCTTGTGCCGGCAGGACTGAAGACCAACAGGTCACAGGTTCGCATTTGGGGAGAGCGTGGATGAGCTCCCTCTGTCAACTCCAGCTCCTCATGCAGAGACATGAGAGAAGCCTCACACAAGGATGATAAAACATCAAATCATCTGGGCGTCCCCTGGGCAACGTCCTTGTAGACGGTCAATTCTCTCACACCAGAAGCAACTTGCAGTTTCTCTCACTCCTGATACGACCAAAAAAAAAAAAAAAAGAATAGCACAGTTTAAAATTGACTGGATAGGTTTGCTTGAAGAGATAGGTATTCCATTGTGTCTTGAATTCAGAGGGCTCATTCAGCTGGCAGGTCTCTTCTGGCAGGTCATTCCACAGTCTAAAGTTAGGGTGGCCCATGCCTTCATATTCTCTATTTCTGTGCAGGATTGTAGGAGCTGGACAATGAACGTGAGAGAAAGAAAATCAACTCCTTTGAAATGTGCTTCCAGAGGAGAGTTCTGCAAATATTGCATACCATTAAAAAAAAAGACTAATAAGGCCCCTTCTACACTGCCATATAAAATCCAGATTATCTGCTTTGAACTGGATTATATGGCAGTGTCGACACATAGGATCCAGTTCAAAGCAGATATTGTGGATTATCTGATTTGGATTATACGACAGTGTAGAAGGGGCCTCCATGGATCCTAGATCCAATCAAACCTGAACTCTTCCTAGAAGGCAAGATGACTAATGCCACTTCCATGCTGTCCCTATATCCCAGGATCTGATCCCAGATTATTTTCTGGGGAGACCCTTCTCTCGCCCCTGCCAGTCTCACAAACTCGCCTGGTAGGTACAAGGGAGAGAGCCTTTTCCTCTGTGGCTCCCTGACTCTGGAATTCACTACCTGGAGAAATTAGAAAATCCCCTACCCTAGAAATTTTTAAAAAGAACCTTAAAACCTGGCTTTTCCGCTGAACCTTTGGTGAATAGGTATTCAATCCCACATTATCTCTCAGTCTCAATATTCTGTCATTGGAGTATGCGTCGCCCCCCCCCCCCCCCCCCCCCCGTGGGAAAGCCTGATTCCATAACCCCCGCTATAATGAGCCCTCCTCCGCAAATAATCTGCTTCTCTTTTATTTCACCCGGGTTTTTAACTAGTTTTAATTAGCTCCTCTTTTAACCATTACATGTAGCCCACCCATTGTCATTGTGTTGTGTTTACTGTAATTTTATATTGTTATGTATTCACATGTTTTATGCAATTATGATGTTGTTTATTGTTCACGCTTTCGGTTTGCGTTTTCGGTTTCTCGTCATTGTAAATCGTTGTTTGGGCTTGGTCTCATGTAAGCCACTCCGAGTCCCCAGTGGGGAGATGATGGCGTGGTATAAATAAAGATTATTATTATTATTATTATTCCATATCTGACAGTGGAGATGTATATAATCCAGTTCAAAGCAGATAACCTGGGATCAGATCCTTGGATATAGGGCCATGTAGTGCAGAAGAGATCTCAGCTGTCATACTCTGACCATGTCATGAACAGAGATGACTCATTTGTTTTAAAGATACAGTAGAAGACAATAGGAAAAGAGGAAGACTCCATTCTAGATCATAGGCTCAACAAAGGAAGCCACAATCCTCAACCTATCTACTCTGCCATATAGTGCAGTTTCCTAATGCACTTTGACTGCACTGAATTGCATGATATAAGGCTACAGTGCCATATAATACAGTTCAATGTGCTTATGTGACAATGTAGATTGGACCAGAGTCTGCAAAACCTGAATAAGGCTATTGACGACAGGGTTGGACATCTCTCATTTATATGGTCACCATGAATTGAAGTTGGCTTGACAGCAGATAAAAAGGAATAATAATTTAAGATGTGAGGACACTAAGGCCCCATCTATGCTGCCATAGAAAATCCAGATTATCTGCTTTGAACTCAATTATAATACAGTGTAGACTCATATAATCCAGTTAAAGCAGATAATGTGGCAGTGTAGAAGGGGCCTATGACTACAGGGAAGCAGAGGGATCCAGTAAAGAAGTGGAACATTTCGTATGTGATCAACAGCAGAGGGAGAGAAAGGATATCAGGCTCTTATTGGGAACAGATCTGGGCGTGGATTGAATCTGAATGGATATGCAAAAGTGTTAAGTATAGACAGACAGTACGCCTTTCTGAGAATCTGGAACTGAACTGAAGAGCCAACTAGGCTTGGTTAATTGGTTTTTAATTGTTGTTATTCCTGTCAACCTTTTTGTTTCTTTTCTCCCTGACATGGTAGTCATCATCCTGGGAAACAAAATCAGACAACTCCTGTGCTCCTGCCCCACATGAGGGTGCCCCACAAGGCTCCATCATGGCTCAGCAACGTGGGGTAAACAGCCTGCGCTTCAATCAGGATCAGAGTGAGTGATCTGCTTCTATCCAATCCCAAGTATTCCCCACTGCTTTTTTTATTGAGGACTTAAGGCTCTTCAAGAAGGGAGAAGGTCAAGGTTTTTAAGCAGATATTGTGAGTTCAATATTTCATGACAGATTGGGCTGAGTTTTGTAGATCTCTTAACACTGTAGATCCCTTCAACACTGTATAAAATCCAGATTATTTGATTTGAACTAGATTATATGGCAGTGTAGACTCAGAGAATCCAGTTCAAAACAGATAGTGTAGATTATTTTCCTTGATATTCAAGATTGTATGACTGTGTCATTCACTGTGAGAGCTTGGAATGAAAACCTCATGACCATTCTAAGTAGGGAAATTTGGGAGCTGTAGTTCAGACTAAGTTTTGCAAACATTGCTTTTTGGTAACATAAAGGTGAAGCTTGTTACCAAAAGGAACAAAACCTATCTGAATGGATTTTAGGTAAAGGTAAAGATTTTCCCTGACATTAAGTCTAGTTGTGTCCAGCTCTGTGGGGTGGTTCTCATCTCTGTTTTAGGCCGAAGAGCTGGTGTTGTCCATAGACACCTCCTAGGTCATGTGGCTAGCATGACTGCATGGAATGCTGTTACTTTCCTGCAGAAGCGGTGCCTATTGATATACTCACATTTGCATATTTTTGAACTGCTAGGTTGGCAAAAGCTGGGACTAACAGTGGGAGCTCACCCTGCTCCCTGGATTTGAACCGCCAACCTTTTGGTCAGCAAGTTCAGCAGCTCAGTGGTTTAACCCGCTGTGGCACCAGAGGGCCCAAATAAATTGCTATTTAAAGAAAAATTACAGGTATTCAAAACACAGATTTTGCAGGTATACAAAAAAACACATGTTGAAGATCTGCATTACTTTGACATAAAATTCAATTTTCCAAGCCCTGTACCAAAGTGATTTGATGGTTTTTGATAGGGATGAGAGACAGGGCTTTCTCAGTGGTGGCCAGAGATATTAGATCAGCCCCCTCCCTCTTGACTTTCCGGAAAAAAAGTGAAAACGTGGCTATTTGAACAAGCCTTCAGAATCTAATGAAACGGTCCAACACGGAATTAGACAAAAGTGAACATTGGAATGGCTCAGTCGATGATTTTTGGACACCTTCGGGTTTGAGAAAGGCAGGATAGGAATACCGTAAATAAATAAATAGTTTGATCTTTACATAATACTAGCTGGCCCCTGCCACACATTGCTGTGGCACAGTCTGTGTATATATGTTTTGTGTGCATATATATGTGTATGTGTGTATATATGTGTGTTTGTGTATATATATGTGGTTTGTGCATGTGTTGTAATGTAATTTTTTTTTTTGGCTTTTTAAGTCTCTTCTGCTGTGTTTTTCAGTGTTTTTATGAGTGATGGTCACTCATTGGCCTGATAGGTGTCTTGTGTTCAAATTTGGTGTCATTTCATCCAGTGGTTTTTGAGTTATGCTAATCCCACAAACAAACATTACATTTTTATTTATATATATTCTACTCCTAGACAGCAATGTGCTGCCACTTATAACTCTTTTTTTTAGTTTAGTTTCATACCTTTTGGAAACAAACGCCACAAATATATTCTGCAGCAATTCAGATACATACTTTATTCTTTCATCTTGTCTAAAACTGGGCCCTTACATTAATACTAAATTGCTGAGCTTCATCCTGTCTCCAACAAAGCTCTGGGATGCTGTTTTTGGTATTTACTACAAGGTGGACCTATTACCTCTCTCCTGCCACAGGTTGCTTCTGCTGTGCTATGGAGACTGGAGTTCGGATCTATAATGTGGAACCTCTGATGGAGAAGGGGCACCTGGGTAAGAAGCAGAAGAGCCTGGAAATGGAATTATGAAACATTGTTGATTTTTTCCTTCACTACAATGTACGCCCTAACTGTCTTCCTCTCTCTTTTTGTCAGACCATGAACAGGTGGGCAGTGTAGCGCTGGTTGAAATGCTACATCGGTCCAATCTTCTAGCCATTGTAGGTGGTGGTGGCAACCCCAAATTTTCAGAGATCTCAGGTGAGTATCACTCATAAAGAAAGAGATGGAGGAAAAGGACTTAGAAAAACAAACTTCCTGTGTAATCCCTGCATTTTCTGCATTCAGTGATATGATTGGTGCATAAAGAAGCAGGTATAATTTACAGTCTTTGAAATTTATCTTAATGCTTCCATTGTAGTCTTGATCTGGGATGATGCCCGTGAAGGGAAGGAAGGCAAAGACAAGCTAGTACTGGAGTTCACCTTCACCAAGCCAGCGCTGGCTGTCCGCATGAGACATGACAAGTATGTATAAGATTCATCCTGTTTCAACTAATCCCAAAGACTGGGTAGAAGCAGCTATGATGAAAACATAGTATTCATAATAGTAGATGGTTTGGGGTCTGTATAGCAGGGTTTTCTAGGATCTGTTTGTGTTTGATGTCCCTCAGGCTAATAAGGGAAATGTCTTTTGAATGGAATGCTTCAGATCCAAATATTAAGGCAACTTGTATATTTAGATTGAGATTTTCTTGGACAGCATGAGTAGGAGAGTGTTGGTAGTGGTACTGACACAGCAGTAGTAGTGGCAGATGTAAAATGGCCATGGATGCAGCAATTGGGAGGAAAGCAGAAAAAAACATCACTATTAGAAAGAAAGCCTCCCTGCTAGTCATGGGCCCAAAATTTGTCTCATCTGTTTGATTAGTGTTTCCATTTCATTCAATAATATCCATGGTTTTCTGTTTACATTATAAATTCAGGATGATATCCACCATGGATATGGGGATTTCATTGTATATCCAGTAATGGCCAAGACAGTCCTCCATTACTGAAGGGAAAAAGAACTATAATGTAAAATATATGTCTCCATAACTAACTATAACCATTCAAGAACGCTCAAGTAGATATATGTATGAGAGACAGGTAAACATCCACACAGAGAGAGCGTGTGTATGTTCAGATTAAGGTGAAGAGTTCATTTACTCATTGTATACTCTTTTTGTTGTTCTTCTTCCAGGATAATAATAGTTCTACGGAATCGAATTTATGTCTATTCCTTCCCTGACAATCCTACGAAGCTCTTTGAGTTTGACACACGGGACAACCCCAAAGGTATGAGTTGTTACACTTCGCTGGGGAGCCCTTGTATCTCATCACTGTCCCAAAAGAATTACTTGCAAGAATGAGCCCAGCTCTAGTTACTCCCTCTCTGGTTTGTTTTCTCCTGCCCAACCTCAGGACTCTGTGATCTCTGTCCCAGCTTGGAGAAGCAGCTCCTGGTTTTCCCTGGACATAAATGTGGTAGCTTGCAACTAGTGGTGAGTAGTCTTTGGTAAAGGGGTAGTGGGTAGAGGAAGGCATAGGAGACCAAATAGAGGCCCCTTAGTTAGTTAGGGCCGGCTTATAACTGTGTTTTAATATCTAGCACAGGGATAGAGAATATGTGGCCCTCAAGGCCTTGGTGGACTCCTACCTCCATGATCTCATGCCTCTTTCTGTGCTGGCTACTGCTGCTGGCAGCTGCAATCTCAGATCTGAAGAACCATGTATTTCTTACCTCTTTGGCAGTAATGAATACCTTTCCCTTATGACTTTACAATAGACCCCACTAGTAATAATAATAGCAAGCCTATGCAGGTATATGTTGGGTGTTGTGATAGGAGAGAGATCAAGGACATTATCATCATTACCGATTTAGATTATGAAGTCTTTGAAGCAGAGGCCAGCCCTCATCTTTTTATTTTATTTTGGAGTTTAGTATTTATTTACGGCATTTGTAGCTCACCTTTCTCAGCCTAGATGTACACTTGGGGTTGCTTCTTCCTGACTCTGTTACTGTGAAGTCCCAGAATATCTATATATCTATATAAATAAAATAAAAATAAAAATGTAATGTTCATTTGTGGGATTAACACAACTCAAAAACCACTGGACGAATTGACACCAAATTTGGACACCATACACCTATCAGGCCAACGAGTGACCATCACTCATAAAAACACTGAAAAACACAGTACAAGAGACTTAAAAAGCTAAAAAACAAAAATTACATTACAATGCGTGTGCAAAACCACACACACACACACACACACACACATATATATATATATATGCGCAAACACACATATACACAAATATACACACACACACACACAAAACACATATACACAGACTGGGCCACAGCATTGCGTGGCAGGGGATGGCTAGTCTATCTATCTATCTATACACGTGCCCTGATTTCCTGGTTTGGTTAAGGCACATGTTTGTATTGCAGCTGAGCTGAGCAAACCATGGTTTACTTCAATGCAGAATTACAAATTCCCTTCAAACCCAGTGTTCTTTATTTTAATTAAATTTTACCATTGCTATTTTAACAGAAGGGTTGAGTACAAATATGATAAATAAAACATAGACTACATTGGACTTACACTCAAACTATAGCTTGTTTTCACCCACAAAACACGTGGGATGGACACCCAAATATGTGGCATGATCTCAGATTTCATGAACCATGGGAGTGAGCACAGTGCAACTCATCAAATATTTTGGACTGTGGCTCCCATAAGCCCTTGCCATCATAATACACGGAAAGGGAACACTGATAGTTGTCATTCAGTCATATGCGTAGCACCACACTTTGCTTGCCCATTTCAAAAAAACGAAGTTTGGAACTATGTGTTTGATTTTCTTTTCCCGCATCTTAGGACCTCTCCAGCACGAAGCCTGGGACTTCATCTGCCCCGTTCACCATCAATGCCCATCAGAGTGAGATTGCGTGCATCTCTCTCAACCAGCAGGGCACTGTGGTGGCCTCTGCCTCTAAGAAAGGGACCCTCATCCGCCTCTTTGACACACAGACCAAGGAGAAGCTGGTGGAGCTCAGGAGAGGAACTGACCCAGCAACATTGTACTGGTAAGAATCCCCACACACAATTCTCACCCACAGACTGCTCCAAGATACACCATTTCATGTACTGGACAAGTACACTGTGCTGCCATCACCGCAACTCTGACCCCATCCCTCCATAGTGTTCCTGGTTATCTTTTAACTTGCCTCTTAGTGCTTAAAGCATCTGCAGGTTTAAGCACAAAAAGGAGCCAAGAGCACCACAACAGAATATTTGCATTTTTTTTCTTGGAAGAGCATAATCTTGTGCTGGAGACACTGTTTGGAAGTTCAGACATGTGGCTACTGTTGTGCAGCTCAAGGGCATCGCAGTGGGGGGTAGTTCATGGCAACACCAAAACATAATTGGTTTTATCACAGATGAGAGTAGCACATTTTAATATAATTATTTATTACATTTCTATACCACCTTTCCTCCAGTGAGCTCAAGGCAGGCTTCATCATTCAACAAAACCGTGAGATAGGTGAGGCTGAGAGCATGAGAAACTGGTCCAAGATCACCCTGTCAGTTTTGTGGCTCTATGACAGTGGTTCTCAACCTGGGGTCCCCAGATGTTTTTGCCTACAACTCCCAGAAATCCCAGCCAGTTTACCAGCTGTTAGGATTTCTGGGAGTTGAAGGCCAAAAACATCTGGGGACCCCAGGTTGAGAAGCACTGCTCTATGAGGATGGAACCTAGATTTCCCAAGTCCCAATCTCATGTTAGCTCAGAGCATTCCAAATATTTCATGTTGGTCTTACACTTTTAAGACATATATCATTTCACAACAAAGTAATTCAGTTTTAATAGCAAGCCAGAGATTAAACCAGCCCCTTATAAGAGATACAGACACATACATAAATTCGAATAACAGAATGTATGGGGACACAATGTAACTTATGAAAAGTTTTAGTTATATTTTAAAAATACATGATTTATTGCATATTCCCATAGACTCAGGGGTTTCTCATTCTCATGAGGCAGACCTACATACTGCAGCCAACACACGAACATGTTGCAACACACATTTTGGAAAGCTCTGCTCTAGCTACTGCTTTTAAAATTGAGTGTTTTGAATCATGTCTGATACAAGTCTCTTGTAAAAGTCCCCCAAACCTTCTTTCTTGCTATTGTGAAATCAGAATGCTGAACTGAAGGGGACTACGGTCCATTCCTGTAGACCAGGGGTCCTCAAACTTTTAAAACAGAGGGCCAGGTCACAGTCCCTCAAACTGTTGGAGGGCCGGATTATAATTTTCAAAAAAGACATGAATGAATTACTATGCACACAGCACATATCGTATTTGTAGCGCAAATACCACTTAAAAACAATGCAATAATTAAAATGAAGAACAATTTTAACGAATATAAACTTATTAGTATATCAATGGGAAATGTGGGCCTGCTTTTAGCTGATGAGATAGGATTGTTGTTGTTATGTGCTTTCAAGTTATTTCAGACTTAGGTTGACCCTGAGTGAGGGCCAGGTAAATGACCTTGGAGAGCCATATCCGGCCCCCGGGCCTTAGTTTGGGGACCCCTGCTGTAGATTTCATGCGTTTGTGCATTTAGGAAAGGCCAACTCAGCTGATGGAATTGCTCCAGAAACACAAGAGTAGATCTACCAACCTGCCAATGTATTTTGTGTTGTAGGCTCATGGAGCAATTGATTGGATCCTACAGACCTTTGTTAGTACTTGGCTATTGTGATTTGTCAAGGGCGGACGGAAGTTTTGATTTTTTTTTTACAATCAGAAGAACTGCATTTGTTATAAATTATTATATCAGATGTCCACCTGGTGCACCAGGAGGGAGCTCTACGTTGATGGCATTTTTTCTTCCTCCTCCGTCACCTGCCTCCCTCATGGCCATTTGCCATTACATTAATACAGTGTTGTATTAATATTGGAGGAAAACCTTGAACTGCCATGTCCTCTTTCTCTTCTCTCCACAGCATTAACTTCAGCCATGATTCTTCCTTCCTCTGTGCCTCCAGCGACAAAGGAACCGTCCACATCTTTGCCCTGAAAGATACCCGCTTGAATCGCCGTTCAGCGTAAGTGCTGGGGTCCGCATGTTCAGGGGGGAAACATCACTGCCTGTTCTGACCCCACTTTTCCTTCTCCGGCAGGTTGGCACGCGTAGGAAAGGTTGGGCCCATGATAGGCCAGTATGTAGATTCTCAGTGGAGCCTGGCCAGCTTCACTGTGCCAGCTGAGTCTGCCTGCATCTGTGCATTTGGAAGGAATACTTCGAAGAACGTCAACTCAGTCATTGGTGAGTGGCAGTACTTATTTTGCCCAGTGTTGGCTACTCAAAAGATACTATGATATGGGGGCAATCATGCCCTGTACCAGGCCAGGGAATGAATTTGGCGTAATACTAAAGACCAACAAATTGCCAGTTGTTTTTAGTATAAAACTCTTTACTATCATTTTGATTTTTTGTGTGTTTTGTTTGGCAACCTCAGAATCTGTGCTGACGCTTGAGGCTCAGGTGCCAGTGGTGGCCAGGAGGACCTTCGCACAGTTAAAACTTGTGCCCCAGTTGCGACTGTACCTTGAAAAACCTGACTTGGCCATGTTGGTCCATGCCTTAGTTACATCCAGAATGGACGACTGCAATGCACTCCATGTGGGGCTGTCTTTAAAGCCAGTTCGGAAACTGCAGCTAGTGCAAAGGTCGGCTGCCAGACTACTAACTGGAGCTAACTATAAGGAACATATCACGCCCCTGCACTGGCTTCAAGTTTCCAGGCTCAATTCAAGATGCAGGTTATTACCTATAAAGCCCTATACCTATCTTTGGGACCGCATCTCTTTCTACAAACCAGTGTGGGCTCTGAGATCAACAGGGGAGGCCCTCCTCTTGGTCCCACCATTGTCTCAAGTACAGTTGGTGAGGACCAGAGAGAGGGCATTTTCTGTGGTGGCGCCCCAGCTCTGGAATACCCTCCTAAAAGAGATTAGATTAGCCCCCACCCTTCAATCTTTCCGTTTCAACCTGAAAACGTGGATATTCAGGCAGACCTTTGACCTCGAGTAGACTGAATGAGCCCATATGAAGCTGACACGTGTGAATTGACGGCTACTGTTATTTTAAAATTGTATTGTTTTTATTTTATGCTAACGTGTTAATGGAGGTTGTTGTTATAATTCTATGTGGCTTGTTTTATACTTGTGTATCATTTTTACTGGCTGTATATGTGCACTCGGAGTGCATTGTAAGCTGCCATGAGTCCCTTCGAGAAGATGGTGGCCGAATATAAATAAAGTATTATTATTAGAAACACAACAAGATGAGTCCACAGCAGACACTCTGCTGGCTGTTGAATTGGATCACACATCGGACACTTCCCAAGTGTCTAGGATTGTGTGGTGTATCGGCGAATAATGTGTGCAGATCCCAGTAAGGTGGCCTTCTACAGCTGGTAATTTTGTCAGCGCCGATTGTGTTTAAGTGCAGACCAAGGTCTTTAGGCACTGTACCCAGTGTGCCGATCACCACCGGGACCACCTTTACTGGTTTGTGCCAGAGTCTTTGCAGTGCGATCTTTAAATCTTCATATCGTGTCAGCTTTTCCAGTTGTTTCTCTGCAATCCTGCTGTCACCTGGGATTGCAACATCAACAGTCCATACTTTGTTTTTTAACACGATTGTGAGGTTAGGAGTATTATGCTCCAAAACTCTATCTGTCTGAATTCGGAAGTCCCAGAGGAGTTTGGCGTGTTCATTCTCTGTAACTTTTTCCGACTTGTGATCCCAAAGTATTATTATTATTATTATTATTATTATTATTATTATTATTATTATTACATCTCTTGTTTTGCGTGTTGAGTCTATTTTTATTTGCAATGTCTCCTCCTACAGCTATCTGTGTCGATGGCACTTTTCACAAATACGTCTTCACTCCAGACGGCAACTGCAACCGTGAAGCCTTTGACGTCTACCTGGATATATGTGATGATGATGACTTTTGAGTACAACTCAGCCCATACTGGGCAGGCAGAGTGAACTTATGGGCAGTTTGGAAGTATTGTTTTGACATGTTGAAGGCCTAGGTTGAGAAAGACAAAGACACATTGTTTTTGGATTCTTGTGATGGATTGGAATGGAGAGCGGCCTTATTCATCATTTCTTGCCACCAGGCATTGTGTTTTGACTACTCCTTCCTGCTGGGCAACCGGTTTCCACAGGAAGAGTGAAAAATTCCAGAGAATTGGGGAGTAAGTGTCTCAAAACTCAGCTGTCCATGCCACCAGCTCTACCCAGAGCTTCCCACAATTGGAGAGGAGAGAGGAAAGGGGCAGAACTATGTACCATTAAAGTTAAAGTGCAAATACTTCTGATTTATTTTATTGACAGTTAGGTTTGCTAGTTGTTCCTTGTTGTAAGATTTGAGGGCTGGAAAGATTATCTCCTATAGGACTGACAAATGTCCTTGATTACTGTATGAGGGACGTCTTCGATTTGAAGGATGAAAAGCTTTTCCTTTTGTAAAGACTGAAGATAATAATAATAATACTTTATTTATACCCCATCACCATCTCCCCAAGGGACTCGGAGCGGCTTACATGAGGCCAAGCCCGATAACACATCAATAAAACAAAAAGCAATAAGCAAAAAACAATACAATTAATATCACTCACATATAATACCAAAAGAATTTCCTGCTTTTTTGAGGTGTGGGCTGTTTATAAACACAGAAATGTGTATAACATTTTAATTTATGAATACGAACAATATGTTGGGTTGTTGTAGGTTTTTTCAGGCTATATGGCCATGTTCTAGAGCCCGAAAAAACCTACAGCAACCCAGTGATTCCGGCCATGAAAGCCTTAGACAATACATTGAACAATATGTTACTTTTACATTTTAATTTATGAGTACGAACAATTGTTACTTTTACAGAGAAACACTTAACTTGGGGCCCTTCCACACAGCCATATAACCAGGAATATCAAGGCAAATAATCCACAATATCTGCTTTGAACTGGGTTATCAGAGTCCACACTGCCATATAACCCAGTTCAAAGCAGGTAATGTGGGATTTTATACAGCTGTGTGGAAGGGGCCTAAGTGAACGGAAATCAATTTTTTCATTTGCTCTTTAGGCAGAACACGGACCTCTTCATAGTTGCTCCCCGACTGTCAGCCCTACCGTATTATTGAAATTTGGCTGCCCCTTATTCCTATTTTGAAAATTGGGCAAAATGTTGGGAGTATTTTATTGGTAAGGATATCAGTTATAAAAGGATGCTGCATCTCTCTTAGTACTTGTGTAGACAGCTTGTGGTTTTTCAGAAGTTGAACTGTGATTCTCATTTTCCTGACCTTTGGTTCGACTGACTAGGACTGAAGGGAGTTGCAATTGATCAAGTTGCACATTCAAATTTAGCAAACAGGTGACTGGGGGATTATGAGATTTGTAGTCAATACATCTGGAGATAACAAGATGAAGAAAAGAAATTCTGTATAGTATGAACTCATGTAAACTTACATTAAAATATTCTGCATTACATTACAAATTATAATCCCATGGTGATTTTTAATGGAGCATTTTGGATAAATTGCACATTTTATTTATTCATTTACTACATTTATATTCCGCCCTTCTCAGCTCACAGGCGACTCGGAGTGGTTTACAGTCAATATCAAAGACATAAAATACAATTTAAAAACAATCAATTAAAATATAAAACCAAGTAAAACAATCAATATCAATAAAAACATATATCAATTTGAGTCTCCTAGTTAAAAGCGTTATCCAATAACATCGTAGAATTGTTCCGTTTTTCTCCATGTCTGTTATATTGTGTCTGCAAACACTTGCTCAAAGAGCCACATCTTGACCTGCTTTCGAAATGTTAAAAGGGGAGAGGCCGATCTAATATCTCTGGGGAGGGCGTTCCATAGCCGAGGAGCCACCACTGAGAAGGCCCTGTCTCTCGTCCCTGCCAACCGTACATGGACAAAGGCGGGATCGAGAGTAGGGCTTCTCTTAAAGTCCTGGAGGGTTATAAGGGGAGATGCGTTGTCATTGAATTCTTGACAACAGACGGTATTACCTCAAAGCAGATTCATCGGAGAATGCAAGCTGTTTATGGGGATTCATTCTTCTGAATTGTTTTCAGTGGATTGATTGCCATGTTAAAATATTGGAAAGGATGTCATAGTACAGACTAGGACACAATGGAGCAAATTGCAGGAAAACAATTCTACCTAAACTTTAGGAAGAAATTCTTGCTGGCAAGAACTGCTCAGCAGTGGGATATGCTTCTGACTCAGAGTGTGGTGAGCAGGGTCACAAACAGCAGAGTCTCCCTCTCTGGAGGTTTTTAAACAGAGGCTGGATGGTTATCTGTTGGGGATGCTTCAATTATGTGTTCCTCCATGGACTGGATTGCCTTTGAGGTCCTTTCCAACTCTTTAAAATTCTATTATTGTAGATTTTGTGTGTTACTATGCAATGTGTGACAAGTACATATGCACAGGATTACATTTATACAGCAACCCTAACCCAACATCCCACACATGTGTACTCAAAACATCATACTATTGTTCAGGGGGATTATTCCAATGTGCAGGGATACATAAATTACCCTCTTACAGGTACTAAACTTGCCCTCTTCTAACTTGTAGCAACTTCTCTTTGGCTTTTGGTGTCTAAGTTCCACTTCTGGATCAGAAGCCAAAATCAGCCATGCTGTCCTGCAGGTGGAAAATTCTGCTTTGATTTTTAGTGTTTCTATGAGTGATGGTCACTCTTGTGTCCAAATTTGGTGTCAATTCGCCCAGTGCTTTTTGAGTAATGTTAATCCCACAAACGAACATTACATTCTTATTTATATAGATGTGTGTGTATACACAGACATATACACACACAAACACATATATATATACACAAATATATACATACACAAAACACATATACACAGACTGGGCCACAGCAACGCGTGGCAGTGGACGGCTAGTGTGTGTGTGTGTGTGTGTGTGTAGTTATATTAGCTAAGTATGTAGGCTACAAGGATAAATGTAATAAATATATATGCCTTTTATTACATTGGCTAAGAGTGAGCTACAAAGGATAAATGAAATAAATTATGTATGTGTGTGTATATATACACACGCACACACCTTTTATTATCACATTGCCTAAGAGTAGGCTACAAAGGATAAATGTAATAAATGAATATATAGAGGATGAGAGTGTAGATTACAAAGGATAATGTAACAAATGAATATGTGTGTGTGTGTATATATGTGTGTATATATGTATGTGTGTGTCTATATATATATACACACACAGACACACACACTAGCCGTCCACTGCCACGCGTTGCTGTGGCCCAGTCTGTGTATATGTGTTTTGTGTATGTATATATTTGTGTATATATATATGTGTGTTTGTGTGTGTATATGTCTGTGTGTATACGTGTGTATATATTTGTGTATTTCTGTATTTCTATGTATATTGTGTGTGCTTGTGTATATGCAGATATGTGTGTATGTATACATATATGTATATGTGTGTAGGTGAATATGTGTGTTTGTGTATACTTGTGTGTGCTTGCATATATATGTGTGTGTGAGTCTGTATGTATGTGTGCATGTGTATATGTATGTGAATGTATGTGTATATGTATATTGTGTATATGTGTGTGCTTGTGTATATGCAGATATGTGTGTATATGAGTATGTATGTGTATATGTAAATGTGTGTATATGTGTATATTTGTGTATGCTTCGCATATATATATATGTTTGTGTCTATACATATGTGTGCACGTGCATGGGTATATGTATATGAATGTGTATATGTATATATGGTTTGTTTTGCGGGGTTTAAAAGTCCATTCTTCTAGGTTTTTTTTTAGGGTTTTTTTGCAGTGAAGCAAAGCCTTTTATTGACCAATGAGGCTTTCAATTTTGCTGAATATAATGTTTGCCTTTTGGTTATTGCAATGAGAATCATCACCTTCACCTATTTCTAAAATCCCAATAACCGAAAGTGAGGACAAAATTAAATACTGCACTCATATTGCTTCATATACAATTATAGCAGGCCTGGGCCAACTTCGGCCTTCCCCTCAAGTGTCCCGGACCTCAACTCCTCCTAGTTTTTTTGGTTTGTTTTTAGGGGTGATGGTCACTCATTGGGTTGATAGGCATATTCCGTCCAAATTTGGTGTCAATTCGTCCAGTGGTTTTTGAGTTATGTTAATCCCACAAACATAACATTTTTATTTATATAGATGTATGTGTGTGTATATGTGTGTGTATATATATGTGTGTGCGTACATGTGTACATATGTATGAGTGTATATATATGTATATATATATATGTGTGTGTATGTATATATGTGTGTGTATATATGTATATATATGTGTGTATATATGTATATAGGAGCCCCTGGTGGCGCAGTGGGTTAAAGCACTGAGCTGCTGAGCTTGTTGATCGAAAGGTCGCAGGTTCGATTCCGGGGAGCGGCGTGAGCTTCCGCTGTCAGCCCTAGCTTCTGCCAACCTAGCAGTTCGAAAACATGCAAATGTGAGTAGATCAATAGGTACCGCTCCGGCGGGAAGGTAACGGCGCTCCATGCAGTCATGCCGGCCACATGACCTTGGAGGTGTCTACGGACAACGCTGGCTCTTCGGCTTAGAAATGGAGATGAGCACCACACCCCAGAGTCAGACATGACTGGACTTAATGTCAGGGGACTACCTTTACCTTTATATATGTATATGTGTGTGTATATGAGTGTATGTATGTGTGTGTATATATGTATGTGTGTATATATGTGTGTATATCTTTGTTACCACATTGGCTACGACTGGGCTACTAAGGATGAATGCCTGGCTTCCTAAGCCATCCTCCTCAAGAGCCCCCTCAGTCTTCCTCAGGAGAAGGGCGGGAAGGCGCTGCCTGTCTTGGGTGGGACTCCATTTCCCGTCGTTCCCCGCGGCATGCCCCGCTGCTGCTCCTGCTGCCGCCGCTCCCGCTGCATGCTGGGAGTGGGAGTCCCGGGTGGGGTGGGGGGAGCCGAGAAAGATGTCCGAGGTGCGGCTGCCCCCGGTGCGGGCGCTGGAGGACTTCCTGCTGGGCTCCAGCCGCCTGGCCTTCCCGGACGTCCGCGACGGGCAGCGCTGGCACAACCGCGTGGTCAACAACCTCCTCTACTACCAGAGCAACTACCTCCTGGCGCTGGGCGCGGGGCTGGCGCTGGGCGGGTGAGTGAGTGAGCGGGGCCAGGCCTAGTGCCACGCAGGCAGCGGGGGCGCGGCCCGGCTCTGTAGCCCACAGGCACCGAGCCCGCCTCGCCTGGGAAGCTAAGCAGGTTCCGCCCCGGCTGGCGTTTGGGTGGGAGGGAGGCCGCCCAACAAGACCACTTTCCACACCAGCCAGCAGAGACCAACCTTTGGACCTCTAGAGATTGTTTGGACTCATTTCCCAGAAGTCTCACCGATACATCCGTTTCTCAGGGATCCTGGGAACTGAAGTGCCAAACCCTTGTCATGGTGTTTTAAAAAGATAGACCCAACTAGGAAGGAATTGGAACTCTTACTCCTGGAAAAGAGTTTGGAAACATCCAGGATTTCAGATGGCAAGAAATCTGAATCCCTTGACTGGGTTTCACACCAAAGAAGGAATGGTATAGAATAATAATAATAATAATAATAATAATAATAATAATAATAATAATGATAATAATGATAATAATAATATAAAAGATTGAACTGCAAAGGATGTGGTACAAGCCAGTAAAGGTGGTGCCAGTGGTGATCGGCACACTGGGTGCAGTGCCTAAAGACCTTGGCCTGCACTTAAACACAATTGGCGCTGACAACATTACCATCTGCCAGCTGCAGAAGGCCACCTTCCTGGGATCTGCACGCATTATTATTATTATTATTATTATTATTATTATTATTAACTTTATTTGTACCCCGCTAGCATCTCCCGAAGGACTCGATGCGGCTTACACAGGCCGAAGCCTCAAAACACAATACAATAGAAAACATAACACAACAATAAACAAAGCAAATCAACAATTAAGCAAAATAACAACAATGACGATACATCAATACATCAAGACACTATTAAAACTGGTTCGGCCGGCGCAATGGGGTACAGGGTAAAAGTGCTGAGATGGCAGGAGGAACGTAGGATTAAAAGTGCGGTGTGCAGCAACATTGGTTGTGCTAAAGTGCTTCAAGGACTTGGGATGGGGGATTCCTAATCTGCGAAGGCACATCGGAACAGCCAAGTTTTTAGGTTCCTTCTGAAAACTGCTAGAGTAGGGGCCTGACGAAGCTCTTTTGGAAGGGCATTCCAAAGTCGGGGGGCCGCCACAGAGAAAGCCCTGTCCCGTGTCCCCACCAAGCGCGCTTGCGACGTAGGTGGGATCACGAGCAGGGCCTCCCCAGATGACCGGAGCGAGCGTGTGGGTTCGTAGATGGAGATGCGGTCACGCAGGTAGGGTGGTCCCAAACCGTTCAGGGCTTTGTAGGTGAGTACCTGCACCTTGAATTGGGCTCGGAAAATAAATGGCAGCCAGTGGAGCTCCTTAAACAGAGGGGTAGACCTCTCTTGATAATGAGCTCCAGTTAGCATCCTGGCTGCTGCCCGCTGGACCAATTGAAGTTTCCGAGCCGTCTTCAAGGGCAGCCCCACGTAGAGCGCATTGCAGTAATCCATTCTAGAGGTGACCAAGGCGTGGACCACCCTGGCCAGATCAGCCTTCACGAGGTACGGTCGCAGTTGACGCACAAGTCTCAATTGTGCAAAGGCCCTCCCGGATACCGCCGACACCTGAGCCTCAAGTGTGAGCGAAGAATCCAGGAGGACACCCAAACTGCGGACCTGAGACTTCAGGGGGAGTGTAACCCCGTCCAGCACAGGTAGCCACCCTATACCCCGGTCCGGTTTTTGATCGACCAGGAGGACCTCTGTCTTGTCGGGATTGATTTTCAGCTTGCTCTTCCTCATCCAGATCGACACAGCGGCCAGGCACTCGTCCAGCACTCGAGGAGCCTCCTTGGAATTAGGTGGAAAAGAGTAGTAGAGTTGTGTGTCATCTGCGTAGAGATGGCACCTAACTCCAAAACTCCGGATGACCTCTCCCAGCGGTTTCATGTAGATGTTAAAAAGCATGGGCGACAAAATAGAGCCTTGCGGGACCCCACAGGTCAAAGGCCAGGGGTCAGAGCAGGCGTCTCCCAGCTTCACCATCTGGGTTCGTCCCTCCAGGAAGGACCGGAGCCACGACAAAACCGCGCCCCCGAGGCCCATCCCAGAGAGACGACCCAGAAGGATACCATGATCGATGGTATCGAAAGCCGCTGAGATGTCCAGGAGAACCAGCAGGGTCACACTCCCCCTGTCCAGCTCTCTGCGGAGGTCATCCACCAAGGCGACCAAGGCTGTCTCGGTGCCATGACCAGGCCTGAAACCAGACTGTGACTGATCTAGGTAGTTGGTATCGTCTAGGAAGCTCTGGAGCTGCGAGGCGACCACTCGCTCCAGCACCTTACCCAAGAAAGGGAGGTTGGAGACTGGTCTGTAATTACTCAGCACCCTGGAGTCAAGGGACGCCTTTTTGAGGAGTGGACGAACCACAGCCTGTTTCAGACCAGATGGAAAAATCCCTTGCTCCAACGATGCATTGACAATCAATACAAACCAGTCAACCAACCCCTCCCTGGCTGATTTAATGAGCCAAGATGGGCATGGGTCTAGAGGTGAGGTGGTCGCCCTCACAGCCCCAAGAACCTCCTCTACGGTTTCAGGAAGAACAAGCCTAAAAGAATCCCACAAAATTGGACAAGCAGATGCCTCCGTCACCTCTTCAGGCACTGCGATGGAATTGGAGTCGAGCTCAAGGCGTATCTGAGCGACTTTACCTGCAAAATGGTGTGCGAAATCGCGACACCGAGCTGCTGGGTCATCAGTGAGCTCCTCCACCACAGGTGGGTGGAGGAGTTCCCCCACGACCCGAAACAGCTCCGACGATCTATTTGCTGCAGACGCTATACGAGTGGTCGTGAATGATTTCCTGGCCACCCGTATAGCCACGGAGTATGCCTTAAGAGAGGCTTTAGCCCGTGCTCGATCAGACACGACCCGAGATTTCCTCCATTTGCGCTCTAGCCCCCTTCTCGCATGCTTCATCACAGTCAGCTCCCCGGTGAACCAGGGAGATGGCCTGTCACGACGCAACGAGATGGGGCGTTCGGGTGCGATCACATCTAACGCCCTGGACATCTCCCCATTATAGAGAGTCACCAAGGCGTCGATGGAATCGCCAGGCTCCAAGGCAGGAAGAACCCCAAGATTCCTCAGGAATCCATCCGGATCCATCAGTCTCCTAGGGCGGACCATTTTAATCTGTCCTCCACCCCTGCGGAGGTTAAGAGTCGCAGCAAGTCTAAAACTGATCAGATAATGATCAGACCATGACACCGGAAGGATGTTTTGATCTTCCACTCTAATCATTTCGTTGTCCGCCACGAAAACAAGGTCAAGAGTATGTCCAGCTTGATGAGTGGGACCAGATATTATTTGTGACAGTCCTATGGTCGTCATGGTGGCCATAAAATCCTGAGCTGCACCAGATAGGTGCCAATACATCACACAGTCCTAGACACATGGGAAGTGTCTAACGTGTGATCCAATACAACAGCCAGCAGAGTGATCTTGTCTGTTGTCGACTCATCTTGTTGTGTTTCTAATAATAATAATACACGCACACAGTCCTAGACACTTGGGAAGTGTTTGACTTGTGATTTTGTGATATGAATTCCAGCATATAGATCTCGTTTGCTGTGACATATTGTGTTTTCGTGTCCGTAAAATAATAATAATAATAATAATAATAATAATAATAATAATAATAATAATAATAAATCACACAGTCCTAGACACTAGGAAGTGTTCAACTTGTGATTTTATGATGCAAAATCCAGCATATCTATCTCATTTGCTGTGACATACTGTGTTTTTGTGTCAGTAAAATAATAATAATACATCACACAGTCCTAGATGCTTGGGAAGTGTTCGACTTGTGATTTTGTGATACGAAATCCAACATATATAACTCGTTTGCTGTGACATACAGTGTTTTTGTGTCAGTAAAATAATTAATAATAATAATAATAATAAAATTCATCAAACAGTCCTAGACGCTTGGGAAGTGTTCGACTTGTGATTTTGTGATGCAAAATCCAGCATATAAACCTCATTTGCTGTGACATACTGTGTTTTTGTGTCAGTAAAATAATAATAATAATAATAATAATAATAATAATAATAATAATAATAATAATAATTCATCACACAGTCCTAGACGCTTGGGAAGTGTTCGACTTGTGATTTTGTGAAATGAAATCCAGCATATATATCTTGTTTGCTGTGACATACTGTGTTTTTGTGTCAGTAAAATAATAATAATAATAATAATACACACATACAGTCCTAGACACTTGGGAAGTGTTCGACTTGTGATTTTGTGATGCGAAATGCAGCATATATATCTTGTTTGCTGTGACATATTGTGTTTTTGTATCAGTAAAGTAATAATAATAATAATAATAATAATAATAATAATAATAATAATACATCACACAGTCCTAGATGCTGGGAAGTGTTCGACTTGTGATTTTGTGATGCAAAATCCAGCATATAAATCTCATTTGCTGTGACATTCTGTGTTTTTGTGTCAGTAAAATAATAATAATAATAATAATAATACACACATACAGTCCTAGACGCTTGGGAAGTGTTCGACTTGTGATTTTGTGATACGAATTCCAGCATATATATCTCATTTGCTGTGACATATTGTGTTTTTGTATCAGTAAAGTAATAATAATAATAATAATAATAATAATACATCACACAGTCCTAGACACTTGGAAAGTGTTCGACTTGTGATTTTGTGATATGGAATCCAGCATATATGTCTTGTTTCCTGTGACATACTGTGTATTTGTATCAGTAAAGTAATAATAATAATAATAATTGTATTTATACACTGCCCTATCTCCACTAGAGGACTCAGAGCTGTTTCCACATATGCAAAATAAGACATACAATATAAAACAAAAACATAGGCATAAATTGTTAACACAACATATATATTAAAATCAATTAAAAACCAGTTCCACTCTCTTCTTCATGCAAGGTAAGCTGGCAGGTGCCAAGATTTCAGTAAGGGGCCTGGACTATTTGT